GAGAATGCAGTTATTAGGAAGCTTTTGGAGGCAGTACAGCGTGGCTTTGTTCTCCAGATCTTGCAAGACAAGACAGCGATTCCACTATGTGGTTATAGTTTTTTTTGCAGGATACAGCACTAGCGGTAATTTTTAACAAAATCTATATAATTGTTTTTTCAGCCTGTTTAGTGTTGCTGCTGGCTGTGATGAGTTAACCTGCATGTGTAAGGAACTAGTTTTTGAGTGAGTGTTTCAGAAACTTTACGCTGTGCTTACAAAATACCTCAAGCAACGTCTCGTGGGCTTGTGAGTCGGGGTGCTCGAAAGCTGGCCGGTTATTTTGAGGTAGCGCGGAATAGCTCAATTTCTTAGCTGTGTTTAGGAATTCCTAGAAAAATTCATGTTCCTGCTTCCCCTGGGGTAGACCTGCAGTACAGCTGCTGTCTGTGCGCACTTGGACTCAGCATTTCTTTTTCTCCGTGCTTTGCAGATCTCTGCAGAGCCACAGGCAAGAGAATAACCAATTTCTCTGTCACATTTCGGGGTGATTACAGGAAATCTGGGATGCTTCATGCCAGGTTCCAGTCACCCGACTTATCTGAGCCCAGATTAGCAGCTCACTCTTGTCTGTGTAAACAGATAAATTGAGAAGACTTTTTTTACTGCCCTTGTCCTCTAGAACAGAAAACGGCTGTTCAGGATCCACTTTATTTCTTCAGGGCTCTATATCTCAAAAAAATACTGAGAGGGTGAAGTGAGAAGTTCTTGCTTAAACGTTAGGATATTATCAAGCTAAAACTGTTTAGCTGAGAGTATGGCAGCTCTTTTGGGTGTTTTAAAGGGGTCCAGCAGTGTCTCTTGGGGAGATAATAGCGCTGAATGATGTGCTTAGTAGATCTACCCCAGCACAGTTACACAGAAATACTTATTTACGGGGTCATATAAAACTAATGTTGTGTTTTTACCTTCCTGCAGATTACCTGTCTTGATATTTCCAGTGGTGGAGGGCTTGGCGTGTCTACCAGCACCGATGGGACCATGAAAATCTGGCAGGCTGCAAACGGAGAAATAAGAGTAAGAGCATCTGGCTTCGATCTTTGTGTTGTCTGTGACATTAATGAAGTTATTTGGCTGTGACTTTGATCGGGCTGTCCACATGCCGTGGTCTAGGGCAGACAAGAATCTGGCTTTTGACAGAAAACCTCATTGAAGTTTGACGTCTTGGAGGTTTTAAGTCAAATCTGTTTGAAAGTGTGACTTCTCACAGGGGAAATAAGGCTCAGCAACCCCGAGAGTGGTCCCGGGGTGAAAATGTGAAATGGGTAGTTAAGAGTGACAGTCAGAGTGCAGAAGGAAACTCACAGCTCTTGACCTGTGTGATATAAGCGCTGAATTTCTTCTGTGCTAGAGAAGAGGTGAAGAAAAAAGCCTCCTGCCCGTGAGGGATTAACCACATCGTGGTTAGTTGCCTTCCCAGTTCAGGTGTTTCTTGTGTTCGCAGGAGATAAAGACATTTAACCTGATATTAGGAACAAATGCAGTAACCTTTGCTATGTAATTAGTTACTCAAATAGCAGAGAGCGGCCCAAAGTGTTACCTGCTCCCTCTGTGACTGCCTCAAATTTGGACAAGTCCGTTCCAGGAATGCTAAATCCAGAGGATTTAAGCTTAATCCCGTGGCTGCTTGGAAACGCCAAGTTTTGCAGTGTCGTAGCTCAAAAATCGCTCGGCCTAAGGGTGATGACGATGGAACTAGCACGTAGTTCTTTGTTTTTCCAGAGACTATTGGAAGGCCATGTGTATGATGTGAATTGTTGCAGGTTTTTCCCATCGGGCCTCGTGGTTCTGAGTGGGGGAATGGATGCCCAGCTAAAAATCTGGTCAGCAGAAGATGCCAGCTGCGTAGTAACATTTAAAGGTCACAAAGGAGGTACGGAGTACTTAGCCTTTAACGTGCTTCATCTGCTGTGTGTGTAATTGCCTTATAATAGTAACCCAAGGGCTAATGTTCAATCACCAGCCTGCTGCGCTTTGCTTTAGATGTCTGGAGTATCTTTTTCGTGCTGCCAGCACTTTAATGAATAAAAAAAATTAAATCTGTAGTTGTATTGGACAGAGGAAACGGTTTTTCTCATTGAGCTGTGGGGTTTTTTCATTAATTAAGGTAAAAAGAAGGAGGATGCAGTCCATTAGTCTGTGCAGAGTGCTAGAGGCTCAGTCAGCGAGTGTTCTGCTCCTCTGGGGGAGTCTCAGCTCTCCACAGCTCCAACCTGCTTTCACCCAGATCATCTTGCTCACCCTCAATTGCTCCACAGCCTCTTCCTTTCCTTTTTTTTTTCGTGCCCATAAAAGCATACAGTGGTTATTACAGATTTGCAGAACTCTAGCAGGCAGCTGTTTGCCTCGAGGACGTGGGCTGTTGAAAGCAAGACACAGTGAGGCTTAAGTGATTATTTCTTAAGAAGCGCTGGAATAAGCTTGTTCACCCTTGTACTGAGGGCAGAGGTTCACCTCTGCCCCTGCTAATGGCCTTGCTGCTGAAAATGAGAGTAAATTCTTTACCCTCCTTGTGTAGAGGATGCACTATGCTCGCTCTGCGTGGGGAGTTTAGTGCTGTTTCTTACGTTCAGGGTCCACACTACAAACCCTTCCAATTCACGCTTAGTCCTAGAGAATAATGGCAAGAAGTGGAAAATGAGCTGCCCGGAAAGGCTCCAGGGAGTTTCTGGACAGAGCCTCAGTCTCTGGAAAGAAAATTTGGTTTCCAGGACCCTTTGTCCAGAAGCAGTGTTGATTTATATGTAACGCTTAACCGGGCTCTTGTTTTCCTCCCGTTTACACCTGGCCTGGAGCACAGTGGCCGGTGGCGCTTTCTTCTTGTGGCTTCCTAAGGGATTGTCAGCGAGTCCAAGCAAGTAGTGGATGTGGCATGAGATGCCTGAAACCCTGCCTCAAATTATCTCCTCCCTGAGCAACTAAACTGCTCTGGACAGGCTGTTGATTTCCCTGTCTCCGGAAGTGTGAGATTTTATTAAAAAGGTTAGTAAGCCACGTGGCCAGCTGCCCAAATCTTCATTAACTTGAAAACTTGTTTTACACTGAACCCACCACTGTGTTCATGTGATCTGTCAGTATGAATTCAAAATACTTGGCCATAAATGTCCTGTAAACAAAATGTGGTGGGCAGCATAACAGAGCGTTAGTCAGAATGACCATCGTGATGGGCTGGAGTTATAAGCAGCAAATAAAATCAACTTCAGAGCCAAACTGCTGCAGTCGGTGTGCTTGGCTTGTCCTGTCATTTGAGCTTGTCATGGCTAATGACTGCTTCTGTAGGGGAAAAATCCATTCAA